AGATCACGTCTCTTATGCTTACTCATGTTAACATGCAAAAAACCTCTTAAAACTGCTATTATTGTATAAATATTTTAACGTCTACTTACTGGTAGGTACATACTACATACATAATTTGTACATCTAATCAATGGTTGTCTCAGTTGACGGAAGTCCCAAGCAAATAGACGCTATACAGATAGCTTCAATAGTTTTTAATATCTGTTGAATTGCATATGCACATTAGGGCTGGTCAATTTTAAAGGGTGATTTTTTTTTGCTATGCGGGTATGGCATACGAGTATTTTACTTGAAATTCTAAACAAATTTGCCGAAAAAACATGAGTCAAAAATTACGAAACTCCTTAGCAGCGTTTTAATTTGATATAGTTGCATAAAGAACTGTCTGAATTTTTTATAAAAACATGCTTTAAGGGGTTTTTTGTAGGTATCAATTTCTAGACTTAATAAAACATCCGCCAGAGGGCGCAATTGTAAAAAGAGTTCACATTTTCTTGTGTTTTAAAAGAAAGAAAAAAACACGTACCTATATTTCAGTGTTCATGAAATTTTGTTTTATGCAACTTAAAGTCAATAGAAAATGTGAGAAATACCATTTTATTAAAACATCTTCACATTATCGCAATTTATGGCTCATTTGTAATTTATAAAAAAATCATGCTGAAAACAAGTAATTTCGCCTTGCAAAATCTGTCAATAAATTAAATAGAAATGAGATAATTTACCACAAATCAAGAACCAAGTGAAGAAAAAAAAACTTGTCATTTATTTTAGCCCCCACTGTTGAGGAAATTAAACAAAAAATGCCTAAAGGTATGCAACCATTTTTTTTTTCTTTAAATCAAGAACAAACCACACACTCGTGCGTACACTAAAAAAAAAATCGCCCAAAATCGCAAAATTTTTTTAATATAAAAATCCATGAAATCGACTTAACAAATCTTTTATTTTAGGAATGAATTCTTGTTATAGTATAGTTTTTAAAACTAAAAATTAACACATTTTGCAATAGCACTGCGCAATGAATGTATAATAACATACATTAATTGATTAAATGAATAATGACCTTTTAAGCGCTCAGCGCTAAAAATAAACTACGAAGCTCTAGTAAGGCGGGATCAGCTATATTCACACTTTTCTTAAAATCAACTATAGTAGCTGAATCATGTAATTTTTTATTGTTGTTATATATTGAGCTATTCAACTTTGATATTTGGCGAAATAGTCATATAAAAATACAAAGCATCAATATATTTTATTTCTAAACCAAGTTTAAAGCTAGCAGCTAATCGTAGTTGCGCGCAGTTGGCATTATGTACGGCAAGGAAAAAAGTCGCCAAAATCGCCCAAGTCAATTTCTTAAATTTTTACTCGCAAACATCCAAAAAAAAATCGCCAACTTGGCGCTAAATCGCCCAATCTGAACACTCTGGTTCTAAAACAGATTTATCATTCAAAAAAAATCCTCCTTTGATCTTGTTTATGTAAACAAATTTTAACACTTTCTACACTACTTACAGAAAAATAAAACGCTGCTAAGAAAACTATTTTCACAATTTGGCTTAAAATTTATTTAATTAATTATTAATTTCGGCAAATTTTGCTTAGAATTTCACTAAGAATACTACTAAGCCATACTCGCATAGTAAAACAAAATAACCCGCCCTAATGTACATAAGAATCTGCATACATATTTATGAAAATATATATATGTATGTGTGTAAATGTATGTGGGTGTTAATATTGACAGCGTGTCTCGAACTCGATTTCATTTCTCTTTTTATTCAATTTTGCACACTCCATTCAATTTATTATTTCATTTTTTTTTATTGTTTTCAATTGATTGATCGACATTTAAGCAAGCATTGAATGTTTACAGCTGTGTGTTTTTGAACGAATAAATTGCTTTATAAATAAAATTTCTTTGGACGACAAACGATTCTGCTGAACTTTCATTAGTTAACACACACACAAGAGAAGGCACACTCTCATCCCGAATTTAAGGCATAGACATTCAAAACTGACAGCATTTGTTTGCATATCAATATGTATGTGTTTATGCATTGCTGGTGCATACAGAAATAAAATATTTTAAATACCATAGCAATGGAAATATACATACAAAAATAGAAATTGAAATAAAATAAATCAGAATCATGTGGAGAATAGTTCAATTTGCTTTTGTGAGCGGAGAATTTTATTCTTAACAAATATTTATTTGTAGATACTATTTTGCGCAAAGTGCCGACGGGTTTGTGAAGCTTATCGAAAAAAGAACAAATAATTTTTTTCATTTAGAAAAAATTTTTTTTTTGCTATTCGAATAATTTGTTTTGATGCTGTTGTATGGCATTTTAATTATTGTCAGTGGTCATTCCAATATTTTTCCTTACCACCCCCTGTGAGCACTTTACATTTTGTGCAGAGAACCTATGTACATAATTCTCATTAAAAAGCCAATTAAAAATAAAGACCAAATATCTAACATTTTGTGCTAAATAAGGAAACCTATTATTTGCTAACGCCATTCAGCTATCCTCGCTATCCCTCTTTTGCTATCTATTCATTCATTGTTCCATTGTTGAATGTCCATCACTGCTGCCCTATTTTAATTCAAATCTCTTTCAGCCTCCTCTTCTTTATTACATTATACTAATATTAGTTTGTTTTCTTATCTTTTGTTTGCAGGATATCCACAGCCCACATATCGGTGGCTAAAGGATGGCATACCAATTGGCGATTTTTCTTCCAGCCAATATTATCGGTTGCAAAAAACGCGGCGCGAGGATGCTGGCAGCTATCAGTGCATAGCAAAAAACGATGCCGGTTCGATTTTCAGTGAGAAAATTGACATCGAAGTTGCATGTGAGTAAACAATGCATAGAAGTATTACTATGTACAGCGCATGAAACCACAAAAATAAAAACAAAAGAATGACAAATTAAAGACACTTCAGATAATGGTTTTAATAGGAAACACAACTTAGTTGGAAGTTCAGTTTGATGAGTGCACAGCGCGAATGAGTTTGAAGAAAAACTGAAAATTAATAGAGGATTGCAAAATTAGAAACGGCAATACAATGCAATAGAGTACGATTACGCCTACGGGAATGAGTCTTACTGAACCTACTAGGGTGTTGGCTATTCGCCTTCTTCCCCAAACCGAGTTATTGGAAGGTTGCATATTTTAAAATTCAGAAAAACCTGGATAAACCGGTTTAATTTTACATAGTTTTCTTGCAGTGAAAATGCTTATGTTGGTATGAAATCATGACCAAAACGTGGCTTTTATTTATAAAAGAGCAAAGCAAAATAAGTTCAATTTTTTTTTTTATCAAAAGTAAAACAAATAAAAATCAGTGAAAAATTCATTTTTGGTCTTACTTTAACTGTTTTTTAATATTCTATTGCATTTTTTTTATTTTTATCGGGTTTGAATAGTGCTCTTGCCACCGTAGCCGAGTGCTTAGAGGTGCCTACTGCCACTCGAGCGGTCAATTCGTCAATTTTTGGACCCGGCAACATCAAAAAAAAATTTTGTTTATGAATAGCGGTCGACAAAGCAGACCTACGAGTGTACTTCTGCCATACAAAAAATAAGTGCGCCTGGGCCACACTGGAGAAGTTAAACTTACGTTGCATATCAATTTTGTCTCATAACCAATATGCATACTCTTTGTATTTTTATACCCGAGCGCACTTGTGCACAAGGGTATTATAACTTTGTTCACATAACGGCTGTTTGTTACAGCCAAATCGAATAGTGATAGATATAGACAAATGTATACCTAAATGATCAGAATGAAAAGAGAAGTTGATTACGCCATGTCTGTCTGTCCGTCCGTCTGTCCGTCCGTCCGTGTACACGATAACTCGAGCAAATGTTGAGATATCTCGGAATGTAGATTGCCCTTTACCCAAGGTAGGTTGGTATTGAAAATGGGTGAAATCGGACAGTAACCACGCCCACTTCCCATATAACGGTAATTTTCAGAAATACGAAAACTGCGATATTTTAGTAACTACTGAAGCTTAAAGGTTACTTCAGAAAACGGCCCTAAGATTAACTGAACATACTATCGAAATTGTTAGAAATAGGGGTAAAACCACTCTTCTTGCCACGGCAGTTTTCAGAAAGGTGAAAAACTATAGCCGTCATCGATTCGCCAACAGTTACCGAGTGGCGAAACAAACGAACTCAATGAGGTACAACCAAACTCGCTATCGTTCATCTTTGCTAGCTAACTTTGTTGTTACATTCAAAATTTTTCGTTACGCGACCGTAACTCAAACATAGCAAGCAGCGAAGTGACGAATCGATGACGGCTTATATTTAATACTTGCGCCGGGTATTTTAAAGGGATGTTAATTTTTCGGCTTTTTCCGATCCCGGGATTTTCGGGATGGCGTTGTCACAATCTCGGGATCCTGGGATTAGTCCAGAGATTTACATATTCATTACTTTTCAACAACTTGAATCGAAAAAATTGCTTCTATGTATATTCTTTGAGAAGCTCTCCTACCATAAAATAAATAATAAATAAATGGGTTTGAAACCTACTTTTTTATTTAAAGGGGCGTTTTTATTTTTTCTCTCTGACCGCAGGATTTATTTTGAAGGACTTTGTAATTTCAAAGACATGATTATTTCCAAAAATTATTAAAAAATTCAATGCAATGTAGAATAAAAATATGGGTAACAAATGCAATAGGACATTTCTTTAGAATTTAAAAAATTTAAATTTTTTGGATTCACAAGGACGAATAGGTAATTTTTAAGCTGACAAAGTTAGAAGAATGAAATTCGAGGATGTTATCGAGTTTATACATGCCCTCAACATATAATTTTTTCAAAAACAAATATTGCGAAATTTCAAAGATAAATTTTTAAAAGGACATTTTCAATATTTACCAGCCCTTCTGCACTAGAAACTTGAATCTGCTTAAATTCTACAGGATTTCCTCTGAATTTTTTAATTAATTTTTGAATTACTGACGTCAGAGTGAAAAACTAAAAACGCAATTTTACTATATTTGGCTTATGGTTTCGCGAATATATTGATATTTATGTTTAAAATTTACTATCGCGCGGTGTTATATGTATAATGAGCTAGACATTAAAAAAGATATATTAATTATTAAATTAAAAAAGAAATATAGCCAATACTGGTCAAGAAAAGGAGTTTCTATTATTGCCATCAGTGCAAATAACGAATCCCGGAAATCCCAGGATTACTTGCAAAGAATCCCGGGATTTTCGAGACCTTAAAAAGTCCGGGACCCCGGGATTAACATTCCTAGTACACATGTAATTATATTTAAAACAGTTGAATATTTCCCCCTAAAGTTTGGTGCATACATCCATATGTAATTGAGTATCATGTATGTATGTATTACTATATGAAGATGTGGCTTATTTAAGTTGACGCGGCATTCCGGTGTGATCAAATAAACGAGTGAATTTTCCGGCAAAGTGTCTTGGCAATCAAAAGACTTAATTTAATTAGTACACTCAGCTTATAGAAACAGACACATGCATACATACATATACATATACATACGTATGAATTTTTGTACGTATGTATGTATATTAATTTATGTCCAAATACATATACGTATGTACATTAGGGTGCATCAAGCCCTATACAAAAACGGTACTTTTCCAGAAGTGTAAAATTTATTAAAAATATTAAGAGCCTACAAATACCGTTTTTTTTTAATTTTAGTTTTTAAAAATATTTTTTCTAAAAATACACCTCAGATAATATAGGGGTTTAAGCTTAAAAGGTCTGCAAAAAATGGTATCAATGGAATCAAAATACATCTTAATATTCATACGAAATATTTTGGCGGAAGTCTTAAAATTTAACGAATTTTAAATTTCCAATGGAAAAAACCGCAAAATTTTTTGGTGATGCATCCTAATGTAAGTACATATATACATATATATATCGATGTTTGAAAAAAAAATTTCATTTCTCACAGATGTATGGTTATCTTTTTAGGAACTTTCAGTAGGGTTATCTTTCTAGTGAACAAGTGCCAAATACAAGGGCCCTTTCTACTTCAGCTAAATGATCAAACCACAATTCCGCCCCTAAAAATAGTATATGTAGGTGAAGAAATTCAGAAGGATGTATTTAAATAAAAAAATATTTTTAAATTATGATACCGGAAAAAAGTAATTTTTTAAATCCTGCCACGTTGCCACCTTGTGCAAAACTGAAAAATAAAGTTAATGTGATAGGCCTAAAATTGCACAATTTGTGCTAAAATTGTAGTACTCAGCATGCAATTTTTGAAAGGGTATGTGAAGAATAATTTCACAGATATATTCCTAAAAGCGTCTCTTTTGCCCAGAATTTTTTTCTCCCTTTATTGCTTTCATTTGATGTGTCTGCTAACAGAATTTTTCATGCTTACTTTGAAGTGGCAGCCATGGAAGCGGCGACATTTAATTAATGTAACACTTAAAGTACCACTCGCTGCTTTTTTTTAGATTCAGTTTTGCCCTTAACTCTTGATAGGCTTATCCAATCAACAAGCATCCGCTCACTAACTTGAGCAATAGCCGCTGACATCGTTTTTCACGCCTACAGAGATGCATTACTTAATTGTCTTAACTTCTTCCTATTACACTTCTTTACTTAATTGACTGACTTTACAGCTTTCTCACTTACATACTTCCACTGCTTCTTTTATTTTCAGATATGGGCATCTTCGAGAACACCACACTCGGCCATCTCACAGTGACGTCAGGTCATCCGGCCATTTTCGATTTGCCAACCATCGAGTCACAACCGTCACCTTCGGTGATGTGGCAAACGGTTGAAGGTCCGCTGAACTATGACATCAAATATGCCGTCACAAAATCGAATCAATTGATTATACTCAGCGCCGACGAGGACGATCGTAAAGCATATCGTGCGCGTGCTATAAACACACAGCTGGGGAAGGAGGAGAATAGCGCCTTCATACAGTTGAACGTGAGTGGGGATCCGTATGTTGAGGTGGCACCCGAAATCGTTGTACATCCGCAAGACATGAAAGTGAAGCGTGGCGAGCAGGTGGCCGTGTTGGAGTGCATCGCCAATGCGCGGCCGTTGCATGAATTGGAAACGTTGTGGCTAAAGGATGGTATACCCATTGAAAGTGCTGGTGTGGCGCATACACTTAACGATCCTTGGAATCGTTCGTTGTCACTGCTCTCCGTTAATTTAACACATTCCGGCGAGTATACGTGTCAGGTGCGACTACGTAGCGGTGGCTATGATACGGTAACCGTTAGCGCCAAGGTGGAGGTATTGGAACCACCTACATTTTTCACACAAATGCGCACGGAAACCTTTGGTGAATTTGGTGCGCTGGTAACGCTGACGTGTGATGTTGTGGGCGATCCAATGCCAGTGGTGAAGTGGTACAAAAATGCCGAACCCATCGAAGCGAATGACGGAAAGTGAGTATTGGGCGAAAAAGATGAGGGAGGGTAAGAATATATATATTTTATAATAAATGTTCAGTTGTAGTGTAGGAGTTGAAATTGAAAATTAAGATATAAATTCCTAAATCCAAATACATTTGAGTAAAGTCCTGGCAAGTGATGTCCGAAATTAATGATTGGTTCTTCCGTCCATCTTTTGTTTTGACAGCTCAAGGCGGTAACTATGCCCTACGCCACAGTTTACAAGATGCTTGCGGTACTTTCCCAACATAGGAAGTTTTGTGCCTACACTTGCCAAATTCGTCTTCTGCACATAGCAGAGCGCCCTTTCTAGCTGTAGGCCGACTCTACTTGACCAGAGCGTTTCATCTGACCTCAAGATGGCCTGCCTCAAGTTTATAATAAATATGTGCAGGGAGGAGGTTGAGACGAGTTTCAAGGGCTTTGATTGGGATACAGAGTAGCGAGCAATACCTCTTTACCTTAATGAATTTGTCGCTTATCGAATATATTACCAAGTGCGGCAACCAAATTGAGACTCCGTAGAGCCTGATTGGACGGTACACACCCATATACATAAGTCCTCATATTTTACCAATGACGGAGTTACAAGCGTGGAAGACGGTAATGGCCTGCCTATACCTTTCATCAGTGTTTCCTATTCTAGTAAGCCTCCTGTCCAACAAGGATCAAGTATTGGACTTTCTCCGCGAAGGTCAAAGTGAATTCATTTGGCAATAGAAGCTACAAATAGGAAATTTTGTTTTTATTTGTAAAGAATCCCATAATGATCTTTGTTGGGTTGGCATTCAGCCCGCTCTTCTATGACCAGGCTTCGAAAATAGCTAAGACATTCTGAAATGGTTTACTAAGAACTTGAGGATGTTTCTCTACCATATTCAGCACTGCGTAAGCTACAAGTTCAAATTCTGTGCGCTTTAATCGCAGTAAGACACTATTTATTGTGACATACCATAGGGTGGGGAGTTAAAAAGACAACTAAGGCTTGTTCTGGGAAGAGTAACGCTTTATAATCCGCGGCTTACGAAGGTACTGCCTTGTTTCGACTGGCAGAGAGGAGGCCTATTTTTTAGGTTCTGCAAAATTTCTCTTCGGTCGCTTTGCGCTAAATGCCCTTCTTTCCTCTTGAACCGGCAGGCTGAGTGTAAAGACTCTTGTCTCCCTGTAGGGCAACCGGTACTTGATTAGCAGTGGATTTACGCGGTTGCCCTTGTCTTTTAGGGTTGAAACAGACCTTTCGTTTCACACTTGGGTTACGCCTACTCGATAGCTGGATTCTGCCCTTTTGGGATTTGGACATGCTGTCGAAGGGTGTAGAATGTTGCGACGTGGCGTGTGCGACAGAAGGCCCAAGTAGCTTTGGATTTATCTGTGTTCCCAAGAGAGGGTCGTTGAGACCCATTCGGTGTTGTTGGTGCGGTACTGGTACTGCATAGTTGCTATTTGAATAGATACAGTCGGAAAGCCTCCTGACTGCAAAACATGCAAAAGAGAAGGCGGCGCAAAGCACCCTTTATTAGAGGGAGATAGAAGATTCGACATCCTCCAGGTCTACATCTATAGTGATAGGCGGGAAGAGGGTCCCATCTGCCTATCTACGGATGCCTTTTATCATATCGAATTGCTTGTTAATGATCACTGCTAATTGTGTTCCACACATTGCATTTCCAGATACACATTTCAGGAGGACAATTCACTGATCATCAAAAAGCTTACACTGGAGGATGGAGCCATGTTTCAGTGTCTCGCCAGCAATGAGGCTGGTGAAAGGAGCGCCTACACTTGGCTGCGCGTTAAATGTGAGTACACTTGAAACCAAAGAGACTCCAGTATTTATTGATACAAAGCAAATATGAATATTTTATATATATATTTAAATAAATATGTAATCCAATACACACGGTCAAAAATTTGGGTTTAATTTTTAAACCGCGCTGGGACTACTGCCTTTTTTAAACTTTTATAGTCTACTTTTTAAACCAGTCAATAGTTTTACGCAATTTTTAATATATTCTGGTTTAAATTTTATCCCAAAAAGTTCGTGGTTTAAAAATCAAACCAAAATGTTTTAATTCTAGTTTCTAGGTTTCAAATATAGAAACTTTGGTTTAAAATCTAAACCGAAATAGAATATGTTTGCACAGCGAATTGTGGTGTTGATTCAAACTGAACATATGAAAGCATATTTACATGCGTGGCTGTAGCTGAGTGTGCAAAGATGCTTGATACAATTGGTTGCTACCAAGGCTGTCCGGGTTCAATCCCAACCAGACGGAGCATGAAATTTAAGATTTTTTTTTTTTTATTCCTAATTATGAAAGTGTTTCGGTTTAACATTTAAACCGAATTGTTTAAATTCTAAACCCAACATATGTGCTCTCTTTTTTATAAACTTGGAAGGTTTGTATTTGAAACTGAATTTTGTTTGGTCATATACATATGTAGTCCAAAAAGTTTAAAATTAAAACCGAAATTTTTAACCGTGCAGCATTGAACATAAGAATGAACTAATTTTGTGTATAAATATATACGTATATATATAAATTTATCGCAAAACAACTGCTTTTTCGTGCTTAAATATTCACCTACATACATATATTTCATATTTATTTCATCTGCTCTCTCTCTCTCTTTCTCTTCCTCATACAAAACTTGCATACATATGGAAAACTCCAAAACAAAATTAAAAAAAAAAAACAATTAACTAACCAATTATTTTCAAACATATTTGCTTCATACTAAATGCTCGAACAATCTAAACATCTATTCCATACGTTATTCGCAACGATAAAGGTTTGCCACCCAAAACACCTACTCCAACTACAACCATTACTCATACGAAGCATATTGAATTGCGCATGACTACAGCTAATAACAATCGACCGAATGCAATTCCGTTGCATTTTGTTGAAAAGCGTAAATCATCGTCGTCATCGTCGTCGTCGTCGCAAGGATACGTGCGCAGTTTGTTGCATCGCTTCAAGCGTTTGGCACAGCCGCGTATCCTGCGTGTAAGAGCATCATCAACGCATTCTGGCATGGGTACTGGCTATCGCCGCAAGGATTTTCGCTTTGGTATGGGCTATTTATCATAAATACTGTTGCACATACATACACACATTGAAATATGCACATGCTTTGTACATACATGTTCTTACATATATACTTACTTTCCTTCATTCGCACGCTTAATTCAATTAACTAGATACAGTACTCGTAGCACTTTATTCATGTTCTTTAAAACTTTTTTTTTAAATTTGTTTGCTTTTTGCGCCAATAAGAGCAGTTTTCTATTTCACAGTAGTTTTAGTGGGGATATTGATTGCAATTTTGCATGCACTGTATTGCATAGGAAGGTTGAACAAATTAACAATTTTGTGGTTTAATAAAATAAAAAAAGCACTTAAAATAGTTCGAAAACTTACTCTATTTTTCCGAAAGTGTCTTATCGAGGTATTTGGCATCAGTGTATGATGTGTCATCACAGCAGATGGACATGGTGGCTATATTCCGCGATCAAAATTTTGTTTTGATAGAAATCGATTGAGCAGCGACTTAACTACACACATTTTATAATAAACGCGTGTTGCAAGGCCCATTCACGAAAATTGGATTAAAAAAAACCAACATTCTGACAAAGAATTAATCCGTAATATAAGAGATGTGTGGGGTTATGGTTTGGTGTTGTCCAGGGTTTTGTCTAGAATTCCTTAGACTTAGACTCCGCCGGACCGGGGCATAAGTTCCGTGGATGATATTACTACCATCGATCAATTTTTAATCCATGGAGGTAAATTTAGGCATGACTTTCACATTTCTGAAGCCGAAAAAACTACATTCAAATCCGAAGAAAAGACAGACTCGACGCTGAAATTAATAATGACTTGCACGAATTTTATTTGCAAAATTCCAACCCAAAGACTTATGACGGGCCTCAAGTAGCTCCCAATTCTGGAAGTCTCAAACTCAGTTTTAATTGCAAGAAAAAAA